TTACTTTTAATAAAAATAAAAATTCTCTTTTTGCAAATCTCTTCGGACTTCCCGTCCTGGTGGAGATACACCCCAGCTCCGGACACTGCCTCGCCCTAGTCTCCCTCGCGGGCGTCCCCCTCGTCGAAAAGGTGGTGGTGGTGGTGCTGCTGCTGCTGCAATGCTGCTGCTGCTGCAATGCTGCTGCTGTTGCAATGCTGCTGCTGCTGCAATGCTGCTGCTGCTGCAATGCTGCTGCAATGCTGCTGCTGCTGCTGTGGCGGTTGCTGATGCTTCTGATGCGCTGCTGCTGGTGATGATGCTACTCATGGTGATCTGCAACAGCAGCAGCAGCAGCAAAAGCAGCAGCTGCTGCTGCGGGGGCTCTGTCTTGCTGCTGATTTGTTCTGCATTATTGTCTACTCCTATTCTTATTAAGTGTTCCTGCCTGCTGCTGCGGCTGCTGCGTTTGGTGCTGTTTCTCCTCCTGTTACTGCTGCTGCTGTTGTGTTGCTGCGGCTCTTACTGCTGCTGTAGCTGTTGCTCGGTTAATTTTGCTGCTGCTGCTGCTGTTGCTGCTGCTGCTGCAGTACCACGACAGAGGGCGGCGCGTGGCGAACGGCGTGGCGATCGCAATTGACGAACCTGCTGCCCCAGAAGCAGCTTCTGCTGCTGCTGCACCTGCTGCTGCTGCTGCTGCTGCTGCACCTGCTGCTGCTGCTGCTTCAAATACATCCTTGCGTTTATTTATAACTGGCAAAGAATGGCCAGCAATTGCCTTAGTAAAGTTAAGGCGAATATACCAAAACGAAGATATCGAATTCGGGAGAACGGGGGGCCCCTGGGGGGGCCCCTGGGGGCCCCCCTTGGGGGCCCCTGGGGGGCCCCACTGTCCTGAAAATGAAGAAGACCCGAAAAAGAAAAAAGCATTTATGCACGTTAAGTCCTTTAAGGAGTTGAGGAGGAAGCTGCCGAACTTCCTTGCCACGCAGAGAATGAGGTGGTAGCAGCAGCAGCAGCAGCTGATGCTGCTGCTGCAGCGATACTGCTGCTGCAGCGATACTGCTGCTGATGCAACAGCAGCAGCTCCAGTGATGCAGCAGCTGCTGCTGCTTCTGCGCACCACGTAGTTGCCGCTTCACACGTGGAAAACAGCGCTGATTCAGCAACAGCTGCTGCAGCAGCAGCAGCTGCTGCAACAGCAGCAGCTGCAGCAGCAGCTAATTGAATTGTGTGCCTCTTACGATGTACAGCTAGAGTGTTTGGAAAAGAACTGCTTCTAAGTTGTGCGTTTAGGCTATGCTGGAAATACCAAATAAAGAAGAAAATAAAAAGTTAGAATAAATAAAAAAAGTTGTTTTGTTTTCACATTTGAATCTGCACATTGTGGAGGTCTTTCCATTAAGTGGAAGCCAAATAGACACAGCCAGCAGTTGAGGTGTACATACACTGCAAAAGGACGCAGAGGGGGCCAAGGGAAGCAGCAGCAAAATAAAAGGCCGAAGAAAAAAGGCAGACGCAGCAAAGACCCCTCATGCTGCAGCAACAGCAGCAGCAGCGGCTGCACCAGCAGGAGCAAAAACAACGGCAGCAAGCAACAGCTGCAGCAACAACAGCCGCAGCAACAACAGCTGCAGCAACCACAGCTGCGGCAACAACAGCTGCAGCAGGAACACAGCTGCAGCAAGAGCCACAACGGATGGCGGCGCACTGGCGAGAGGGGGAGGATCAGCAGCAGATTCCCCTGCTGCTGCTGCTGGCTGCAGCAGCAGCTGCTGCTGCTGCAGCCTTCCTGCTGCGTGCTGCTGCTCAAGACGAAGAGGGCTGCTGGGCTGCTGGCGCTTCTTCGCGTTTTCTCCGCAAGAGAAATTCGCTGTAGGGGTCGTGTCTGCGCAAAGGCGAGAAGGCGGGAGAAAAGGAAATTCAAAACAAGCCAGGGGCAAAGCCAATTCAAATTCGAAATGGAAAAGACGCAAGAGAAAAGAGTTGAAGCCCCAGAGGGCAAGGAAAACCTCTTTTAGGGTTTTAACTATGGATAGAGGAAGCTGGGAAACTAGGGTTTACGGGGGAGGGTTTGGCTGGCTGAGGCGTCCGCGCCTCTAGGGTTTAGGGTTTGGGTTTGTGTAGGGTTTGGGCCTTTACTTTCCGGGGAGCGAAAGTTTTGCGAAGTGCACCCATCCCTTGCTCATGTTGATGTCCAAGTCCAGCACCAATTGCTGAACTGTCAAACATTTGTCGGGCGAAGCTTCCACGAGGGAGCGGATGAGCGCTCGGAACTGCAGATACACCCGGCGCACTCTGGGGTGTATAGGCAGCTCGCCGGCGCGCCGACGGAAAGTGGAAAGCAGAGCGATCTGGTCCTCTTTAGGGGCACTTGGATTATTTCGCGGGGAAGTCTGCAGCATTTTGCGATTTATTTTCGATTCTAGTGGGAAATAACGCACTTGCTGCGCATTTCTCTTGTGGATCGCCTTCTCCTCCTTCGTCGAGCCGTACAACTCGCCCCAGTAGATGACTCTGAGCAGCCCTCAGCACTCCGCGCACACGCCGCGAACTCCACAGCTATCCGCAAAGACCAAACTCTCAAACTAACCCCCCAGCCACTCGACCTCAGTGCAGAATCGAGCAGCAGCGCCGCTCGAAGCAGCCCCGCTGCAGCCCCCCTAGCGGCGCGGCTTCCAACTCGCCGCTCTCCAGTTCAAGTCTTTCTCCTCACCTGTAGTCGTGGCCGTCGTCGCTGCTCATGCGCGCCCCGTAGATCAGCCCCACGCCGTGGCGGTTCGGCCTCGGCAGCTCCAGCACTTGGTGCCGCAGCCGGTGCAGCGTGTTCCGCGCAGCGATGCTTCTTTCCAGCGCCAGCAGCGGGGCCTCCTCGCTGCACGGCAGCAGCGGCGGCGGGCTCGAACCCGCCGCCGGGGCCACCCCTGCGGGCCCCCCTGGGGGCCCCCCTGGGGGCCCCCCTGGGGCCCCCGAGGGGGCCCCCAGGGCGGGGCCCAGCGGGGGGCCGAGGCGGGCGGCGCAGCAGCTGGCGGCGCGACGGGGGCCCCTGAGACGCTTGTGCGGCGGGGGACAGGTGCAGGCGCCCCTTTGATGCTGCTGCTGCAGCTGCAGCTGCTGCTGCTGCTGCTGCTGCTGCTGCCTGGCCAGCGTCAGCCGCTCCCTGTGTTGGCGCACAAGAGCCTCTGCTGTCTCCCTGGGGGGCAGCAGCAGCAGCGTCGAGGGGTCAACAAAGTTGAGAAAGGTTTCGGCCCTCAGTGGCAGCCTGTCCGTCTCCTCAGGGCCTGGGGGGCCCCCCGGGGGGACCCCAGGGGGGCCCCCCGGGGCGTCGCCCGCCCGGCTGAGTTCTGGGTCTCGTTCTGCTGCTGCTGCTGCCTCGCTAGACATGGAGCTGCTGCTGCTGCTGCATGTCTGTTGTGGGGTGTCGAGGGCCGCCAGGGGCTGCTGCTTGGTTTGCTTGGCCATCTCCGGGTGTACGTACACCTCAGCGAGCCGCGAGCTCGAAGACCTCCGCAGTCCTCCGAAGCTGCGCAGCTTTACCTGCGGGGGGGGGCGCGGGGCAGCATGGGGGGAGGTTTTGCTTGGGAGAAAAGTTGAACTAAACCCTAAACCCTTAATCCTAGACCCTAAACCCTAAACCCTGGTCCGAATCCCTGGCACAGTCCCGAGCCGCGAAGCCGCAGAAGCCTGCGAGGCTCCGGCGCAGAAGAGCGGCCGCGGAAAGACCGGAAGAAGGGGCGGAAAGGCAAAGACGAAAAGACGGAATTCAAGTTGGGAGCTGCAGTCGGCAGCAGCGGGAGGCTGCGAAGAGCAGCTTCGAGGCCTCCAGAAGCAGCAGAAAGCCTAAAAAGGGAAAAAGTATTTCAAATTTTCTGAAAAGAAAAAGAAATCGTCGCAGGAAAGCGAAGTTCCCCTCCAGGGCTTTCCTGGCAGTAGTAGGCAGTGGTGGAGCGGTGGGAGGGGGGTCGCTGCCGAGCGGCTCCCGCGCGTCTTCCCGCTAAATATATCTTTTTTTCGCTTTTATTTGCACAAATATACTTTTAAACGGACTTACGAGTTAAATCTCGGAGAAAACGCCGGAGCCGACGGACGCGCTGCACTGCTTCTGGTTCCTGGGGGGCCACAGCCACTCCTGGGAGGCCGCTGCTGCTCACGCAGTCAAGATGAAGATCAAATACACGGATTCGCGTGCAAGTTGAAAATAAAATATATTTTTAGCATTAAATTCGAAGAAAGTCATTCCTGGGCTCCGGTTTAGGAGGAAATGGAGGCTTGGGCGCGAGCAGTTGCTGGCCGTCGCGCACTCAGTCAAAATAGGAAGCTGAATCGACACTTATCAAAGATGTAATAGTCTTAACTGCCTCAACACAAGTTGATTACGCCAATTTCAGTCTTTTTTCAGACAGACAACTCAAGACAAATTAAACGCCAAAATTTGAACATCGCTTTGCAACAAAAAATGAAGTGACGAACTGCAGGCGCTGCGACTTGCAATTGACGCCGGAGGTGTCTAGACAGCTGACGGGAATTGCAACTGCAGCGAATTCCGGGAAATCTGAATAAATTCAGTTTTCTTGGAATTCGCGGGGAAGCAGGAGCAAACAAAAGCCACTCAGCAACTCTGAATCAAATTTATTGCCTCGAGATGGATTTAAACTACATTTTCTTTTTCTACTTGCTTCCCGCAGAACTTGAATTTTTGAAAAGAGCTGGAAAGCGGGGGAAAGCGACGAGGAAATGGACCAAATCGCCGGGAGGCAAATGGTGTAATACGAAAGAAAGAATTGAATTATTGCAAAGTTCTTGCTGAGTTCTCGCAAAGAGGAAAGATTGTTTTCTAAAAACCTGAATTTCCTCTTCACGAGTGAGGAAATGAAGACTAAAGATGAAGGGTTTCCGCCCTTTAAGTGTGCCTTTGCTGCAAAGAGCATTCGAAATGGAAATTAATTCTAAATTATCCTAATTTAATTCAAGAAAAAGAAATTCTTCAAGTGCAGCAATTCATACACTACAGTTTCCACTACTTCTCTTCCCGCTGCTGCTGCTGCTGCTGCTCCGGTGACTGCGCAGGCTCGGCCTGCTGCTCTGCTTCCTCTGCCACATTTACGGTCTTTTCCGTTCCCGCCGCTGCTGCTTCTGCTGCTGCTGCTGCTGCTTTTCGCTCTGTGGGCTCTGCAGCAGCAGCAGCAGCACGTTCGGCTTCTGGGGAGGCGGCGGAGCTTCGCGTTGCTTCTAGGAAGGCATTTGTGCTTGCTGCTGCAGCAGCAGCTTCTGCTGCTCCTGCTTCTTCGGAATTCCTCTCTCTCTCCTCTTTTGCTTTTTTTGCTGCTGCTGCTGCTTCTGCCGTACGTTGGCTGTCTGCTCTTTGTTGCTGCTGCTCTTCTCTCTCACGTTCTCTTCGCTGCTGTTGCTCTTCTCTCTCCTGCTGCTGCTGCTCTTCCCTCTCTCTTTCTTGCTGCTGATCTTCCCTCTCCCTCTCTCTTTCTTGCTGCTGATCTTCCCTCTCCCTCTCTCTTTGCTGCTGCTGCTCCTCCCTCTCCCTCTGTTTCTGCTGCTGCTGCTGTTCCTTCTCTTTCTGCTGCTGCTGCTGTTCCTTCTCTTTCTGCTGCTGCTGCTGTTCCTTCTCTTTCTGCTGCTGCTTCTGTTCCTTCTCTTTCTGCTGCTGCTTCTGCTCCTTCTCTCTTTGCTGCTGCTGCTGTTCCTTCTCTCTTTGCTGCTGCTGCTGTTCCTTCTCTCTTTGCTGCTGCTGCTGTTCCTTCTCTCTTTGCTGCTGCTGCTGTTCCTTCTCTCTTTGCTGCTGCTGCTGTTCCTTCTCTCTTTGCTGCTGCTGCTGTTCCTTCTCTCTTTGCTGCTGCTGCTGTTCCTTCTCTCTTTGCTGCTGCTGCTGTTCCTTCTCTTTTTGCTGCTGCTGTTGCTCTCTCTCCCTCTCTCTTTCGGGCGCTTCTACATAACGCTGCTGCGCTGCATCTGCTGCTGCTTGAGCTGCTGCTCCTTCAACTACAGTTCGTCGCTGCTGCTGCTCTTCTGCTGCTTGTTGCTGCTCCTCTGAAGCCTCTTGCGGCTCCTTTGCTGCAGTCTCTGCTGCTGCTGCTGGTGTTCTCTTTTCCCTGCGGCTCTGTTGTCCGGGGGAGGGGCGTGTGGGGGGCGCCGCGGCCCTGTCTCCGGGTGTCTGTACAGCGCAGCACGGAATTCGCAAAATTCAAAATCGGAAAAAACTCTCATTCGAGGCGCTTTAAGGCCTCCAAATGAAGCAAAACAAGTTTAAAACAACTTAATGCATTTATTAAACTGAAATAAAAGAAGAAAAGAAGTCGAAGTGCCCATTTGCCAGCGTTTGAGACGAAGTGATTCGACATTCTGCACGAGAGCAAAGCGAACATTTAAAGTCTTTCTACACGTTCTATTCCGCATTAATTTTGCCGAATTAATTCAAATGAAGAGTATTTCAGTCGAAAAGAGAAGAAAACTGGAGAAGTTGAGAAAGTTTGCAAGTTTTGCAAGTCGAAGAGCTTACCTCCCTGTCGAAGGGCCAGCCCGGCAAGACTGCGTAGAAGGGAAGAGAAATGGCTCTTCCGATATCCGTCAAAGTGCTGGTGAGAATATCCAGAGGAGATTGTGCAGCGGCGAATTGGGTGGGGGTAGCGAGCAGCAGCGCCCCCGTGGGCAGAACCAGAAAGCTGAACCGCACCATTTTGGCGCCGATCTGCCGCGATCCGGGCTGCTAATCGCGCGTTAGAGGGAGAAATGAATGGAAAATGCAATTTGGAGGACAAGGGGCAAAGAATTTGAAGAAAAAAGAAGGAAATTCGGCGGAAAACGAAGCTGAAGAGAGCGTCCGACGAGGAGTGGAGTTGAGTACGTACGGCGAGCTCGGCGCACGCGAAAGGGATCTGAAAACCCGGAAAATGAGACAATTCTTTGATGAGATTTCGCCAAAATGCAAAATTAAATAAATGGTTGAGAAGTTTCTCCATTTGATCCGCCGTTTCCCTCAAAACGCGCGTCCGAGCAGCAGGTGCTGCAGCAGCAGCAGCAGCGCTGGGCAACGGACTGACACCCGGTGACCCGCACAGCGCAACCCTCGCCGTCTATTTCATGATTTCTTCGCTTCTTTTTGTTATTTTGCAAATTCAAATAAAAAATTAATCAAATTTAATTCATTTGTTCCATTTTTAACTCCAAAACTCCTTTTTTCACCCCAAATCCGCTGCGATCCGCCGCAATCCCGAACCGCCAACGCACCACTGGACTCCGCTCCCTGACAGTCCTTTTGGTGAATGCAAATCATCTCAATAACAAAAAATAAAACAAAATATCATTAAATCCTTTTTAAATTAGAAACGAAGAAAAAGAAAAGTCCACAGGTTCATTTACTTGCACCTTCCTATCACTTCCCGTCGTTTCTCGGGTTGTCTCCTCTTGTTGTTCATATTTGCAACTATTCAACAAAGTGAAAACTCATAAATTGAATTCTTCTTTTAAATTTGCATTTAACTAATTCTTTTAAATGCCAATTTGTCCACTTTTTGGTAATTTTTCCCGCGCCCAAATTGAACTAACACAAATTCAACAAGCGCTTCAGTGCTCCAAACCTAAACCCTAAACCCTAAACCCTGGAAGGTTGTCAGCAAAAGCTGGGAAAACCTGGGGCTGAAATACGCAAAAGAATCGGAAATGAATAATTAGTGCTCTGATTTATTTCTTTTTTCTAGTTGTTTCTCGGCGTGGGTTGTACATACACCCCACGGACTTGGGCAGAATTTGCAAATTAGATATTTACGACTTTGTAGAAGACATTTAAATGCTTTTAAGTGCATTTAAATGTCTTCTACAAGCTCACAAATAAAATTAAATGCATTTAAATGCATTTAAATGCACTTAAATTTATTCACGACTTTGCAAATTTGCATTTAATATGAATCTGAGTATTATTATTTTCCCCATATGGAAATTTACTCAGCAAGGCTGCAGATGAAGTTTTCATTTATTCGATTTTATTATTTTTAAACACTTCCTTTCCCCTTTATATAGATAAAGAAATGAAACAAATACAAAGAAATTAATTAGACTAAAAGGAAATACAAAAAAGCAAAAAGAGACATTTAACACTTTCGCTAGTTTAAAATGAAAGTCAACTGGCTCTGCTGCTGCTGCTGCTGCTGCAGCTTCCGTTGCTGCTGCTGCAGTCGTCGCCGCCGCCGCAGCTGCTGCTGCCGCTGCTGCTGCTGCTGCAGCGGCCTAAAAGGAGCCAAAGATTACAGAAAAAAACGCTGAGCAATGAATTTTTGCTGCTGCTGCAGTTGCAGCTGCTGCCGCTGCTGCTGCTGCTTTGATTCGCTGCTTCCATATTGAGGTGTACATACACCTCAGCAGAAGCTGCCGAGCGCACAATTGACATAATGCACTGAAAAACACCTCAGCAGCTTGCTGCAGCTGCAGCAGCAGGGATTGCTGCAGCAGTTGCAGTTGCTGCTGCAGTCATAAATGCTGCTTCAGTTGCAGTTGCTGCTGCAGTCGCAGTCGCTGCTGCAGCAGTTGCTGCTGCTTGTGCTGCTGCTGCGAGTGCAGCAGCAACAGGAAATCGCGCTAGAAAGAACAGAGACGCAACAAAGAGCAGCAGCAGCAGCAGCAGCAGCAAGGGCGCATCTAGACGCCGCATGAACACTCAAATAAGCAGCAGCTGATCTTTGAATACATATTTATTTGACAATAAATATATTTATTTATTTTTATTCTTTATTCCTTTGTGCTGCTGTTGTGTCTCCAGTGGCTAGGGAGGCGGCAGTTGCGGCTTGAAAGCTGCTGCTAATTCTGCTGCGTTTTTTGCTGCTGCTGCAGCAGCAGGGGCATAGAGCAGCTGCAGCCGGTCTGCTGCTGCTGCTGCCGGTGCTGCTGCTGCCGCTGGGGCTTCTGCTGCTGCTGGCGCGTCAGCAGCAGCAGCAGCAGCAGCAGCAGCGCTGCTGCGGCTCTCAACTGAAGCCACAGCAAGAGGCTCCGTGCCAGCAGCAGTTGGATGCAAAAAAGAGAAAATAGAAAAAATGTTTAAAGAATATAAAATCAAAAATAATAAAACGAAAATGAACAGAGTCAGGAAGCACCGTCTGCAGCAGCCCACGCCCCAAAACAGCAGCAGCAGCAGCAGCAGCAGCAGCAGAAGCAGAAATGGTGAGTAAAAGAAGAGCAGCAAACCATTCTGGGAATAAATTAATAATGAATTGAAAGGAATTGCCAATGAAAGGGCCCATGACTTGAGTGTACATACACCCCATCAAATGCACTTTATATATTTTTAAAAAGCAAAAGTGGAAATTAAATTGAATTAAATTAAATTAAAATTAAAATTACAATGAAGAAAAATAAAATTAAAATAGAAATTTGAAAACAAAAATAAGTAAAATTGAAACTTCTAGAAATCGAAAAATGCAATTTAAAAACGACAAAAAGAAATTTAAAAACGCCTAAAAGCGAATTAATAAATAAATAAACAAATGAAAAACAAATAAATAATAATAAATAAATATATAATAATGAATAAATGACAAATAAATAATAAATAAATAAATAAAAAGCTGAAACTTAAAAATTAAATAGGAGCTCCTTGCCTCTGCCTTGAGCGCTGCTGCCTTCGGCTCGCCTTCCGCAGCTCCATCGTAGCAGATCTAAAAATAAATAAATAAATAAATAAATTAAGTCAATTAATTAGTGAAATAATTAATTAATTAAAAAGAAACAATAAACATAGAAATAAATACTAGTAAATGGATGGAGATATGGATAAGTGAACAAGTAAACAAAAAAACAGAAGCAAACAAATGAATAAGATAATAAACAAAAAAGAAATAAAACAATAAAATACAATAAAGAATATGATAAATAGGAAGCAATAAAATAAATAAAAAGAAATGAAACAGATAAAGGGAAATAAAATGAATAAAAAGAAATAAAATAAACAAAAAGAAATAAAAAAAAGATCTTTTTAAAGACCCACTTGGAGTGGGCGTGGGCCTCCTGCATTTGCGTCTCAATGGAGTTAAGGGTTTCGCCTTGGGAGAAAATGAGATTTGCGAGGTCTTTGAAGATGCTGTTGGCCTGCAGCAGCAGCAAATATCGATATAAATTACAATTTAAATTAAACGTTTCATAATTCAAATTAAAATGAAACAAAAAGAATTCAAATTCGCAAAACTCGAACAGAAACCGACGCGAGCGCTCCCGGGCAAGCCGGGTGTACGTACACCCCAGCAACGTGCACCAAATCCAGTTCTAAGTGAAACGCCATTAAAAAGGAGTTCAATTGAAGGAATTACAAGATAAAATAAAATAAAATAACTAAAATGAATGAAATAAAATAATAAAATTGAAAAGGAAAAAAGAAACGAAATAAAACTGAAAAATTAGGGAGAGGAGCCGCCACTCAGCAAGTGGGAAATCCAGAAAGAAGCATTTAATTGGTTAATTTGAAAACAAATAAAAGGCATTTATAATTTGAAAACAAATAATAATTAATAAATATATTTCAAAATAAATGAAAAAGAAATAAAAATAAAAGAAATAAAAATGAAAAAGAATTCAAAAAGTTCCCACCTGAGAAACCTGGGCGTGGATTCGCCGAATGCCTTCATAACGGTCTTCAGTTACAGCTTGCTGAAATAAAAAGGAATTATTTAAATTTAATTAATTAAATATAACTTTAATTATTTTAAATTTAAACTTATCTTTAATACATATATTAAAGATTTATTTGAATTTACATTTAATCATTTCAAATATTCAATTCATTTATTTATATCGAAGGTTTATTTGAATATGGGTTTAAATTTAATTACTTTAAATGTATATATGAATTATTTAAATCTGTATTTAGTTCTTTTAATTAAATCTCTTTAAGTGCATACATATAAGGAATAAATTAAATTCAAATTTAATTCTTCTAAATCCCTTAAAATCCCACTTGGCCATCTTTTGCAACAAATCTCAAAATTCAGAAATTATGAAAATAAATTAAAATAAAGGAATAATAAATAAACAAATCCACAAATTTCAAAAGTAAATTAAAATAAAGAATAATAAATATATAAACTCCAAAATAATTAGAATAAAATAAATAAAAAATAAATGAATTAAATTTTAATTTTATTTTTTTCTTACAGACAGCAACGCGTCGTTCTCAGAGACGAAGTCAAACTCCCTGCGCACGCAAAAAATAAAATAAAAATAAAATAAAATAAGATAAATAAATTAATTAACTAAAATGAAAACAAATAAATAGAATGAAATAAAATGGATAAATATAAATAAAAGAATAAAACAAACACTAGATAAAAAAGATAAAATAGATAAATTGCAAATTGCGAAATAAAAGACATGTAAATGTAATTTAAAAAGATAAAAGAAATAAAGAGATTACTTATTTAATAACCTACAAACAAATGGAAATAATAAAAAACAGAAAAGGCAAAAAGGAAAATAAATAATAAACAAATTGAAGCAATTCAATTCTAAAGAAGTGATAAATAATAAACAGTAAAAGAAAAATGGAAAAAGAGAAACAATTAATGGTGAATAATAAACAACAAATAAAACAGTACTTAATAAGAATTAATCAACAATAATTACTAAACAGTAAACAATAAATAATAAGCAATAAACAAACAATAACAAATAATAACTAATAAATAATAAACAATGAATAAATAATAAGAAATAATTAAAAATTAGATAAAAAAGAAATAAATGATCTCTGGATTTCGAATGAAAGCCTGCTGAAGAACTGCGCGACTTAGCAAAACAAATCAAACAAATGGAACAGCCATTTTAATGAATTAAAAGGATTAAATTAATTAAATTAATTGATTTAGTTAATAATTAAATTAATTAATTAATTATTTTATTTAATTTACGCAATATCTCTGGAGTCTTCTGTGATGAACAAATTGTCGGTCTCGTCGCCGCCGTAGGCGCCGGCCTGAGGTGTACGTACACCTCAGAAAACGGGGGTGGAGAAAAGCGGGAAAGTTTTTTGCGGGAAAGAATTCATTTAAAACAAAACAGAAAAACAATTAAATTGATTATTTAACTAATTATTTAATTAATTGATATTATTTGAAACAATTTAATCCATTTATTTCCATTTTTTTGCCAATTTAATCCTCACATTTTCCATGTCCAGAATGACCTTGGAACTTTCCCCGTAACTCAACGGCCGGCTCTCCTCCCCTTGTGCTGCTGCTGCTGCTGCTGCTGCTGCTGCGGGGTTGTTTGTGCGCTCTGCAGCAAGACGGACTTGGTCAGACAAGTCCTGGACCCTTCGAATCTAAAAGAAAAGAGTTAAAGCAAAATCAAACCTAGGGTTTAGGGTTTAGGGTCTACTTCTGCTTGAAAATGCGCGAAAAGCTTTTCGAAAAGAAAGCTTACTAGGGTTTAGGGTTTAGGGTTAGGGTTTACGGCTTCTGGTTTAGAGCTAGGGTTTAGGGTCTAGGGTTTAGGGTTTACTTCTGCTTGAAAATGAGCAAAGAGCTTTTCAAAAAGAAATTTATCTCTTTGCTTTTCTATGGAGTCAATTTCTGCCTCGGCGGTTTGCTGCTGTTCCTGCAGCCATCTGCAGCAGCAGCAGCAGCAGCAACAGCAGCCGCAAATCTTTTAAATCGATTAAAAGTTTAAATAAATAAATAAATAGATAAAAAACAACAGACAAGTAAATAAATGAATGAATGAATTAGATAAATTGAATTTAAAAACAAACAAGTAAAATCCACGCCAAACCGACAGCTAAACCCTAAACCCTAAAACCTAAATCCTGAACCCTAAACCCTAAACCCTAGGTTCCGCACTCTGCAGCAACCAGAAAACCAGCCACAGCTAACACATCAGGAGGAAGCCCAAACCCTAAACCCAAAACCCTATACCCTAAACCCTAGATGTAAAACCCCAAACCCTAAACCCTAAACCCTAAACCCTAGATGTAAAACCCCAAACCCTAAACCCTAAACCCTAAACCCTAAACTCCAACTCAAAAGAACGCAACCACAAAATAAAGAGAAAGACAAACTCTACTACAAAATCCCACACCCTAAACCCCAAACCCTAAACCCCAAACCCTCCAAACCAACTCCAAACCCCAAACCCTAAACCCTAAACCCTAAACCCTAAACCCTTGCTCACGTTTGTTTCAATGCTCTGCAAGTTGCTTCGGATGGTCTGGATATTCGCTCTGACGATTGCATCGTAACTGCGGGGCCCTGAGGGGAATGCACAACCCTAAACCCTAAACCCTAAACCCTAAACCCTAATTGGCTCACGATTTGAAGGCGGTTTCAGTTTGCAAAATGACATCGAAAGTTTGCTTCAACTTGTCATGCAAAGACTCCACAATTCGGCGAGATATGAAGTTGCGGTTTAGATTCCGCAGCTGCGCCCACAAACCCTAAACCCTAAACCCTAAACCCTAAACCCTAAACCCTAAACCCTGGAGCGTGTCAAGGCCCAGCCCCCCAAAGAGCAGTTCGTAAAGCACTGGCAGCAGAGGCCTTACTGCTGCGCGCTGCAAACAACTCCCTGAATCCCAAACCCTAAACCCTAAACCCTAAACCCTAAACCCTAAACCCTTGCTCACGTTTGTTTCAATGCTCTGCAAGTTGCTTCGGATGGTCTGGATATTCGCTCTGACGATTGCATCGTAACTGCGGGGCCCTGAGGGGAATGCACAACCCTAAACCCTAAACCCTAAACCCTAAACCCTGTTATTCTTATTCCCCGGAGAGACTGCATGGCTTTGCTGTCTGGAACTTTGGAAAGGAGGCGACAAATGCGCAGCAGATCGGCAGCTAAACCCTAAACCCTAAACCCTAAGCGTTGAGCCCAAACCCTAAACCCTAAACCCTAAACCCTAAACCCTAAACCCTAGCTCACCCAAAGAGCGCAGGGCCTCCCTCTCGTCTACTAAAGGCTCTGTGCCCGGCAGCGGCGTAGGGCGAACGACGAAAGACATGCTGTACGTACACCTGAAGTTAGTTTGTTTTCTTTTTTCTTTTTTATTTAATTTAATTTAATTTTGTTTTATTTCTGGAGTTTGTTGTTTTATTTGTTTTTATTTTATTTAATTTCTGAACTTTGCTTTTCCTCTTTTGTTTTCTATTTCTTCTTTCTCTTCCGGTGTACCTCCACCTCCCCCGGGGCCGCTGGAAGGGCGCTAGGGCTTTGGGGTGTACGTACACCGCGGGCCCGCCAGCCCTAGACCCCAAACCCTAAACCCTACACCCTAAACCCTAAACCCTAAGCCCTCGGGGAGTCGGGGTGTGTGCTGCTGCTGCTGCAGCGCGCGGCGGGTCGGGAAGCAGCAAATGGAGTTGAGGGAAGAAAGCGGAGAGAGAAAGAAGGGCGTGAGGTGTCTGTACACCCTTGCAGAGAAAGCGCAGCAGCAGCCGAAGGCGACTTTGCATGCATCGGGGGTTTTCGGGGTTCGTTGAGGGGCTGGAGAATTGGAAAAAAGAAGAAAATGGAAAGAAATGAATTAAAAGGAGATTAAAAGGGGAAATAAAGAGCGAGAACCGGCGGAGAGAATAGCGAACGGCTGCGCGGCGCTGCGAGGCGGGCGGGGGCTTCTTCGCCGGCCTTTGACACGGAACTTATCTCCAAGAAGTGACAAATTGAATTTTAATTCAATTAAAAGAATTAATTTGCAAATTCCGACGCAGACAACGCCGCTGCAGGGCTGCAGGCAGCAGGCGCCGCAGCTGCTGCTGCTGCTGCAGCTCATCGGATCTGCAGCAACCCGCGGGAAACCAGCCACAAAATGCACTTGTCTTTCGCATTTTAGCCCATTATTCTGAATTTATCGACCAAAGTTCCCAAAATCCCGCAAAGATTCCTCGAAATTTGGATTTAAAATTGGGTTTCGGGGGGCGCGGAGCTGCGCCCATGTGACACCGCGAGGCGTACATACACCTGAATTCTGCGCGCGCGGTTTCTTGAATTTGCGCATTCAGTCTTCAGTTGTTCATTTTTTGGGTATTTTGCATCTTTTTTTCTCTTTTTCTGATCTTTTACTCCGGAATCACAATGAGTCCGCGATCCCGCTGCTTTTCCCTCCTGCTGCTGCTTTTTTCCTTCTTTTTTTCCCTTAAGATCCTCTTTTTCGCCGACTCCGCCGCTGCAATCATGTTTGACTTGCCTCCCCAGGCCCGCGAGTGCTTCTTCGTCAAGTGCTCCGACCAAGAATCCGAGATCACTGGGTGAGCAGCAGCTGCTGCAGCACTTCAACTGCAGCAGCAGCAGCAGCAGCTGCTGCTGCTGCTGCTATTGCAGCAGCAGATTCCAGCGGACCCGCTAATACCCGTCCTGCAACCGAGCAGCAGCAGCAGCAGCAGCAGGTGGAGTTCGGGCGCGGGACCAGCAGCTTTTTTTTTTTGATTTTGTGTTTTTTTGCACGCATATTCTGAGCTGCTGAAGAGTCCGCTGTCTTCTTCTAATTCATTTTTGATTTATATCCCTCTTGAACTTTCCTGCTGCTGCGGCTTCCCGCGCTGCTGCTGCTGCTGCTACTGCTGCTCCTTTCCTGATTTTCCTGCTGCTGCTGCTCCTTACCTGATTTTTCTGCTGCTGCTGCTGCTACTCCTGCTGTTGCCTCTGCTGCTGCGGCTTTCGTGGTGCTGCTGCTGTAGGCGCTCCTGCTCTTGTTCCCGCGGCTGCTGCTGCTGCACCTCTGCTGCTGCTGCTGCTGCTGCTGCTGCTGCTACAGGTCTTACCAGTCCTTCTTCGGAGACGGCAGCATAAGAGTCTCTGTGGAAGGGCCAGTGCCTTCCCATCGTGCTGCTGCTGCTGCTGCTGCGCAGCTGCCGCCGCTGACGCCGCTCTTTTCTTCTGTGGAGGAGACCGCGCAGCTGCATGCAAAGGTGCTTTTTATTTCTTTTTATTTTTTTTTCCTTTTTAATTATTTTTTCCTTTCATTCTTTTATTTCTTTTATTCTTTCCTTTTATTCTCTTTTTCTGCTTTTTTTCCGCTTTTTTCGACCCAAAAAACTCTAAAATTGAACATGCAGTTCTTGCTGCTGATGCCCGTGTCTCCATTATTTGCTGTTCTGTGTGCTGCTGCTGCTGCTGCTACTGTGTCTGCAACTACAATTATTATTATCATTATTAGATTTCCCATTATTATGCCCACAATTATGATGACTAATAATATCAATTGCCCTTATACGTGCGCTGTTGCTGCTGCTGCTGCTGCTGCTGCTGCTGCTGCTGCTGGTGCGCAGCTGCCTCTGCGAGGGGAGTACGCGGTGTGCGTGCGGAGTCTGTTGTCGTTTGAGCAAACAGTCACAATAGACTTTCATTTGCAAACTCAAGAAAAGAATTCTCATCCAAACCAACTTGCGCTCGAAGACGAGGCCCTCAAGCTCAAGGGACTCATGAACGAAGTCCTCCAAAAGGTAGCTGCAGCAGCAGCAGCAGCAGCAGCAGCGGGGTTGTAGGGGCAGCAGCGGGAGCAGCAGAGGTGTAGTAGTGGCAGCGGCAGCAGGAGTAGGGGAGTAGCAGCCGCAGCAGTTGTAGCAGCAGCGGCAGCAGAGGAGTGTAGTAGCAGCAGCAGCAGATGTAGCAACAGCAGCAGCAGCAGCAGCAACTGTAGCAGCAGCCGCAGATAGAAAGAAGCCGCCAGTAGTGTATTGGGGTGTAAAGCCGCATTTGAGAAGCAGCACATATCGGAAGAAAGCAGAATAACTTAAAGTGAATTATTTGAATTAAATTATTCGAATTGTTTGAATTGCATTATTTGAATTCATTAAATTGAATTGTTTGCATTAAATTGATTAAATTGTTTCAATTGCATTCAGGCGAATTCGCTGTTCGAGCAGCAGTCGCATGCAATGGTGCGGCTGGGGGTGCATGCGGAGCTGGGGGAGTCGACGCGGCGGCGGGCGACTTTGTGGAAATCGATTCAAATGGGCATGCAATTGGTGCTAACTGCGTTGCAAATATACTTTGTGAAGTCTTACTTCGAAGTTAAAACCATTGTGTGAAAACACGGCAGCAAAAACGAACAAAAATGACCCCAAACTCCGCCGACTGCGCGCCGCCGCGCCGCGCTTCGGGTGTACGTACACCCCTTGGGGTGTACGTGTACACCCACGGGGTGTACGTACACCTGGCTGCCGGCGAACTCGCGCCCCGGAAAACTCGCCAGAGGACTTTTTAATTCAAAGTTTTCGCCTTTTCGCCCCTCGAAATTCAAGTTAAAACAAATTAAACTTGGGACGCAAAATATAACTCCCGGGACCTCGGATTCTCGCAGCAGCGCCAGCAGGGAGTTTCAAAGGACCCCAACGTAAACCTGAGTGCGAAGGAGGCACAAAACGCAATTAAAATGCAATATTGCAATATAAATGAATTGTAAACGAATTATAGATGAATTATGAACGGAATATAAATGAATTGCATTTATATTTCTGTACTGTATGTACATGCTTTAGCCAAACTCGCTCCCGCGCTTGTTGTACCTGCGTGTACACCTGAAACCGCAAACGCAATTCCTCTTGTTCAGTTTTTGAGGAAATTCAAAGCCAATTTAAATCAAACTTTTGCAAACAAAAGAGAATTCTAAACTATTCAGCAGAAGCAGTTTAATTCAACTAGTTTTGCTGCTGCAGCTCAGCTGCAGTCAAGAAGTGCTTAAAAGGAGAAAACTTATTTTTATATTTTGCTGCGGCAGCTCAGGCCTTCAAGTACCCCCATTGCTGCGGCTAGCTACAGCTGCAGTTTGCTGCAGCTGTCCGCAGCTGCAGCTTGCTGCAGTTAGCTGCAGCTTGCTGCAGTTAGCTGCAGCAGCTGCAGCAGCTGCAGCTAGGGGGTTTAGAGACTGCGGCTAGCTGTGGCTGAGTAGTAGCGAGAGCAGCAACAGCAGCAGCAGCAACTGCAGCGGCAGCAACTGCAGCAGCAGCAACTGTAGCAGCAGCAACAGCAGCAGCAGCAACTGCAGCAGAAGCAACTGCAGCAGCAGCAACTGCAGCAGCAGCAACAGCAGCAGCAGCAACAGCAGCAGCTTGGGCTGCAGAATATGTTGGATTTGACGGAGGAAACGGAAGTGACAGAAAACAATAAATGAGATGACAGCAGTTTTAATTTTGTTACATACATATTTATTATTTCTTTTTTTTTAATTTTTATTTTATTTTCATTTTTGTGTTTACTTTTATTTTATTTTGAAAGACACCTGAGGGCTCTTCAAGCAAAGTCTTCAATTGGCTTTTTCTTCTTTCGAATTCAAATTTGTATTTAAATTTAAATTGAATTTAATTTCGAGTTTAGATTTAAATTCAAATTTGAATTTGGATTTGAATTTGAATCTGAATTAAATTCAAATTTGAATCTAAATTTGAATTGAATTTAATTTTAAATTTGAATTTGAGTTTGAATTGAATTTGAACTAAATTTGAATTTGTATTTGAATTTAGACTTGAATTTGAGTTTGTATTTGAATTTGAATTTGAATTTGCTTTGAAATGAATTTAAATCTAAATTTGAATTTAAGTTATTTTCTTTTTGATTCAGAAACGGAAATGAGAGTCGGCGGTCTCAGTGTGACGAACGAAAGCCCCGCAACTGAAACTGCAAAGTTGAACCTTTGAATTTAATTTGAGTATTGAATTAAATTACATATTTAATAAATTTAAATATTTAATTCAATTAAATGAAACAATAAATTAAATGATTGATTCAATTTCGCTTTCCACTTTTCTGAATTCAACTTGTGCTGCTGCTCTCGGATCTGATCCCAGGACAGCCGAAACTGTCTTTCTTGAATCGAAAAGAAAAGAGGAAAAAGAGAAAAAAGAAATTCAAATTAACTTAAAATAAATTTAAAAGTAATTTGAAATGAATTTAAAAGTAATTTAAAACAATTTAATTCAATTTAAAACCAATTCAATTTGAATTCAAGTTTCCACGAGAGAGGCGCTGCCGCCGCGGGTGAGGCGCCGCGGGAGATCGCGGGAGTTTCGGGGAATAAAAAATGGAGTTGTTTGTCGTTTCGAATTTGAATTTAATTTAATTGATTTAATTAATTTAATTAATTTAATTAATTTAATTAATTTAATTCAAAATTAAAAAATCTTTTCGAATTCCTTTTAAGAAATTTCCACTTCCATTCTTTCTGCGGCGGTCGCCCACTGGTTCGGGTGTCTAGGCACCTTCAAGATCGCCGCTGCAGCCCTTTGCAACTTTCTTTCTTTTTATTTACTTTCATTTTTATTTCTTTTTATTTATTTTAATTTCTTTTAATTCATTTTTATTCGCCTTCAAGTCTCTTGCTTCCACCACCCAGGTGTATCGACAGCGCGCGCAAAGTCCCGCCAACAGTCTTCACCGCATTTTCCATTTGACTCTTTTGCTGCTTCCACACTCTGCAGATTTCCTAATAAACAGCAGCGGCAGCAACAACAGCAGCAGCAACAGAAGCAGCAGCAGCAGAAGCAGCAGCAGCACCTGCAGCAATAATCGCAGCAGCAAGTAGCAGCAGCTGCAGGAGCAGCACCACAGGAACAGAAACAGCGGCAGCAAAAGCAGCAGCAAAAGCAAAAGCAACAGCAGCAGCAGCAAGAGCAACAAGAGCTGCTAAACCAGCAGAAGCAGCAGCAGCAGCAGGATGGATTAAAATTGTTTTGTTTGCTTCTTGCTCTCCAACTTGAAGATGAAAATTAGTTTTCATTTTCTGTCAGGCCGGCGTGGCCTGCAGCAGCTGCTGCTGAGTGCTTGTTCAATTTGCTTTCTGATTTGCTGCTGCTGCTGCTGCTGCTCTTTTGCTGCTGCTGCTGCTGCTGACGGCGAAAACAAAACAGAAAAAAAAAACCCAAGTCCGCAGTCGCAGCGCATTGACATGGCGGTGATGCAAATTGGAGTTTCGACTCTGCTGGTAATCCAATCAAACTGCTGCTGCTGCTGCTGCTGCTGTCCCGTTTGCTGCAGAGCAGCAATAAATTCCTGTTAAAAAGCAGAACTGAATAGAAACAAGACTAATAATAAATAGCAATAAATAACGCCAAGGATAAAGCAGAAGAGAGAAATAAATGAATTGAAATTTGGATCTTTCCGGACCTTGTGCAGAACGCGCTGGGGAGCGCAGCTGTACGTACAGCCCACGAGGCGGGCCACAAAGAGCCGCTTGTTGCTGCTGCTGCTGACATCAGCCATTTGGCAAAGTTTGCTGCTTTTCTTCAAGACGTTGTCTTCACAAAAAGGGGACACGACGCCACTCGACTGGTCCATTTGCAAGCAACTTCTGCTGCTGCTGCTGCTGCTATGGCGATTTTTGCTGCTGCGGTTGCTGCGTGGTTTGATGCTGCTGCTGCTCCTGCGGTTTGTTTTACTGCTGCTGCTCCTGCTGCTACTCTGCTGCTAAGTGCGTTTGCTGTTTGCATGTCCGCGGCAGCAGCAGGGGATTTTAGTTTAGTTGAAATATGGAAAGTTCTTTTGCCGCTGCTGTCTTTGCAGTTTGCTGCTGCAGTGCTGCAGCAGTTTCACCGCATGGTCGGGCACTGGGAAGCAACTGAGATAGGGGAGCGTTTGGCAATAAGGAAGAAGCCGAAAGGAAGAAAAAAAGAGGAAAGAGTCATTTTATCGGTGGAAGGCCTCCAAAAAGGTAAATAAAATCAAACAAGATAACTTCCAAGCTCTTTTTTAATTCCCGAAAGCGAAATAAAGTGAAAGCGGAACATCTTGAACTTCAGTTCAGAGTCAGCGATTTCGGGTGTACGTACACCTCAGCACTGTGGAACCTTGCGAGTTTCAAAAGGGAAAAAATATTAAAAGCTCTTCGTTTCTGAAGAGTGATTGACTAAAGTAAAGCGATTTCTGAATTTAATTTGAAAAGTTTGCGAAATCGTCGAGAAAAGCGAGAGAAAGTAGAATTTGTTAGGCAGAAATTCAAGTTCAGGTTTCGCGTTTCCGCGGCCGATCTTCTGGATCCTTGCACTTCCCGGCCTTCCCGTCCCGTGTAAAAGCCAAATAAAGAATAAAAAAGGATTTATTTTGCATTTTTTGAATTTAAATCGGAAAATGCGGAGTTTTGCGGCGGCGCGCAGCGGGAGTTGAATCTTCGGCAGCAGTGTTTGGGAGCGGCCCGGAGTTTCTGCAGCTTTCGTTTCTGCTGATGGCGGTGTTTCGCGGAGTCGTTTTCGAAAGAGATTTGAAAAGAGTTTTCGATCTTTTGCCTCTTCTGCTCGCGTGGACTCAAATTGCAAAAACGCAAATTGCTTTTTTCGCATTTCCCACTTTCCCCTTCAAGTTTGTCCTCCCCGCCCTCGCGGCCCTCGAGCCCTCCAAACCCCAGGCCGACCACCTCCACAAAATCTCCAAGGCCAGCAAACCACGCTTTAGGGTTTAGGGTTTGGGGTTAGGGGTTAGGCTTTGGGGTTTGGCGTGCAGGATTTGGGGTTTACGGTGCAGCGTTAGGCGTTTGGCGTTTAGCTTTTAGGGTGCAGGGTTTAGGGTTTGGGGTTTAGGGTTTAGGTGTTAGGGTGCAGGGTTTAGGGTTTCGGGTCTAGGGTGCAGGGTTTAGGGGTTGGGGTTTAGGTTTTAGGGTGCAGGGTTTAGGGGTTAGGGTTTAGGGGTTAGGGTTTGGGGGTTTAGGGTTTAACGCTGAACCCTAGCGTGACGAGGCTGCCTCAAACCCTAAACCTTAAACCCTAAAAGCGCTGTTTAGTTCACTAACAGCAGCTGAGCAAATCATTTATTTGAATGAAACTTATTTATTTGAACAACAAGTCATTTATTTAAGTAATTAATCATTTATTTGAATAACAAGTCATTTATTTGAATAATAAATCATTTATTTAAATAAATCTTTTATTTTTATTTTTCGCTTTTTGTTTTTAGTTGCAAATGGAGGCCCACAAGGCTTTTCCAGAAATGGACAAAGAAGAAATTGAAATGCAACTTGATTTGGATAATGCAATTGAAGAATCTGTTTTCGAAATTATCGTCAAAAAGGGTATTTCAAACCACTCTAGGGTTTAGGGTTTAGGGTTCAGGGTTTAGGGTTTAGGGTTTAGGGTTTAGGGTTTACGGGTTGAGGTTTAGGGTTTGGGGACTTGTGCACAAAGTCTAGTGCTTGGAGCTCACTGTTAAGGGTCTCGGGTTTAGGGTTTAGGGTTTAGGGTTTAGGGCTTGGGCCTGTTGCTGCAGCGCACCGTGGAAAGAAACAAAAGCTGCCACTGCAGCAAAAACCACTTTTAAATTAAATTAAATTAAATTAAAATTAAATCAAATTAGATCAAATCAAGTCAAACTTAAATCAAATTTAAATCCAATTTGAATCCAATTAAATCAAATTTAAACCAAATCAAATCAAATTTAAACTGAATTTAAATCAAATTAGATCAAATTAAACGAAATTACGTCAAGTTATATCAAATCAAATCAAATTAAATCAAATTAAATTAATTAAATTGATTAATTTAATTAAATTAATTAAATTGTGAATAGGAATTCCGTTGGCGAACCACCACCGGCACGGGTCGTACTTCGCGGAGTGTATGGACAGCCGAGACTCGCTGCTGAAGTGTCTGCAGAAAAAGAACAAAAGGGGGAAAGAACTAAGTCATTATTTATTGTCTCGAGCTTGTTTTTTGTTGTTTAAAATGGCAAAACCCTCGTTGAAAACTGGAGAAAAAGAAAGGGGAGAAGAAAAGGAACAGGGAAATCCAAAAAGCAGTTCAAAGGAACAAAAACAAACCCCAGAAAACGAAAAAGAAATAAATCAAAATGTACTTCATTTCTTTCTTTCCAGACAATTCTGGAAAGATGAAGAAAACGCAACTAAGACCATGGAAGAACTCTTCGCAAGAACTAACTTCTACGCTTACTCCGTCTTCAACTACCTCCAGGCAACTAGGGTTTAGGGTTTAGGGTTTGGGCTTTAGGGTTTGGGGCTTAGGGTTTAGTGTCTAGGGTCTAGGGTTTAGGGTTTGGGCTTTAGGGTTTGGTGTTTGAGGTTTGGGGGTTAGGTTTCTGGGGTTAGGGTTTCGCGCTTGGGGCCTACGGTTTTGGGGTTTGGGGTTGGGGTTTACAGGGCTAGGGTTTAGGGTTTAGGGTTTAGGGTTTAGGGTTTGTTTCTTCAGAATAACCTGGAGAAAAAAGAGAGTTCAGTAACGGTAAGAGCAGCAAATTGAATTTAAGAAGAAGTGAAGAATGCAGCGCTAGTTTAAACAAATAGGGTTTAGGGTTTAGGGTTTAGGGTTTAGGGTTTAGGGTTTAGGGGTTTGGGTTGTTTGGCTCCCTGAAATGCCGTTTTTGTGCAGCTTTTATTTACATTCGTTTTGTTTTTCAAGAGAGTTATTTATAATATTCTTTTCAATTTAAAATAAATAAAATTCATTTATTTTTTATATTTAATTTCCATTTTTTTATTTTGCTCTGCAGGAGCTGCTGCAAGAAGTGATGGAACAGTTCCAAACTGCAGAGACGGTAATTATAAAATAAATAAATAAATAAACAAATAAATAAATACATAAATACATAAGTTAATTAATTAATTAATTAATTAATTAATTAATTAATCGATCATTCGTTTAAGTCAAATTGCTGAAGTTATTTGACATGACTAATAATCCCAATCTCGTGATCATTTTAATTTGTTTACCATTTATTTATTTATTTATTTATTTATTTATTTATTTGGGTATTTACTTATTTATTTATTCATTCATTTGTTTGGATACTCATTTATTTATTATTATTTATTTATTTATTTATTTGCTGCAGGAGGCGAAGGCTCTTTCTGAGGAGCACAAGATGCAAATTGAGAAATCTGTAATTTGAATCAATTAAATCAAATTGATTAATTTAATTTAATTTAAATTTAATTTGTTTAGATTTAATTTAATTCAATTTAACTTTGCACAAAATGCATTCAACCGCATTTCAAACAAATCAATTTTGCAGCCTTCACCCCTCCAACTTGGCTTAAAGGCTTAGGGTTTAAGGTTTAGGGTTTAGGGTTTAGGGTTTGCGCGCAGTTTGAGGGTTTTGTAGAGTTTGCGGGCGCGAAGAGCCCGGAGTCCGTGGCTCTGGTTGTGGCGGAGAAGAAGTCGGGATTAAAAGAATGGAATTTAATTTTTAATTTTGAAAAAATGAAAAACTTTTGCAAACAAAAAAACACTTTTTGCAAAGTGCTTCTTCGCCAGCTCCTCAGGACCAGTGCGGCGCCATTTATTCCCATTTATTCTTTATTTATTCTTTATTTATTCTTCATTTATTCTTCATTTATTCTTCATTTATTGTTTATTTACTGTTTATTTGTTTTATTTCATTTATTTGTTTCTTTATTTCGTTTTTGTCGCAAAGTCGCATTCCTTCCGTTTCGCCTCGGCGGCTCTTTCGTGGGGTGTACGTACACCCCAGACATTCGTTTCGTTTTTGTCCGTTTTTACTCAAATTAAAAGCCTTAAGTTGCAGTTAAATTTTTTTATTTATATTTTAGCGTTTTAGGTCCTAATTTACTGCTTTTAATTGCAATTTATTCCTCTAATTCGTTTTTTTTGCATGCAGCCCCTTCCATTAAAAACGCCTTGGCTGTGGAAGAGTTCAAACTGATGCTCCGCGCAATCCTCGTGGGACAAAAACAAAATAATTGAAATTAATTATTTCTTTATTTGTTTTATTTTTATTTGTTTTATTTGTTTTATTGTTTTATTTGTTTTATTTGTTTTATTTTGTTTATTTCTTTGTTTGTTCCAGCTGTTGTATTTGTTTTCATTGTCGTATTTGTTCTCATTGTTGTATTTGTTTTACCTGTTATACTGTTTTATTTGTTTTATTGTTTTATTTGTTTATTTTAACTATTTGCTTCATTTCTTTTGCTTTATTTGTTTTATTTTGTAATGTTTGTTTAATTTGTTTTATTTGTTTAATTGTTTTACTTGTTTATTTGCTCTATTGTTTTATTTGTTTTATTGTTTAATTGTTTTAATTGTTTTATTTGTTTCATTTATTCTAAATAAATAAATTCGAATCTTTGAACTTCTTTTTTTCAGGTGTCTGTAGGTGCAGTGACACCCCAGGCGATGGCCAAAAGTGAGAAGAAAATTAATTTATTTCATTTTAATTTATTTTATTTTAATTTATTTTATTTTATTTTAATTAATCACTTTATTTTCTTTTATTTGAATTTATTTAATTTACATAATGTACTTTCAGTCTGTTTAATTTATTTTTAATTCTTTTTTTATTTAATTTTAATTTTCGATATTTAGTTTTTTAAAAGCATTTCTTATTTTTAGAAGAAATTACTTCTTTTAATTATTTCTTCTCTCCTTAATTCTAATTCAACTTTTGAAGATACAAGAAAATAAAATTAAAATTAAAATTAAAATTAAAATGAAATGAAAGCTAAAAATAAAATTAAAACTAAACTAGAAATGAATTTGACAGCAAAGTTAAAATTGTAATTAAAACTGAAGTTAAACTGGAAATAGAAATGAAATAAAACGAACTAAAAATAGATATTAAAATTGAAATAAAAAAAATAAAAACAAAATAAAAACAAAATAAAAACAAAATAAAAACAAATTAAAAACAAATTAAAAACAAATTAAAATAAAATAAAACATTAAAATGACTATTTTTATTTTTAGGTCTAAAGAAGGAATTCAGTCTTCTCGCGAAACAAATAAAAGTCCCAAGTGAGTCAAATTGCAAATAAATTGAATTAAATTAATTAAATTAATTTAATTCAATTAATTTAATTTAATTAATTAAGTTTAATTTAATTTAATTAAGTATTTTATTTTATTTTATTTTACTTTATTTTATTTTATTTTATTTATTTAGAGCCTCCTGAGACAAAGAGGGAAAAGGCGGCGGTGGCGGCGCGGGTGGCGGAAAAGACGGAAAAAGAAAAAGAAGAAAAAGAAAAAGAAAAAAAAGAAAAAGAAAAAATAAAAGAAAATGAAAATGAAAATGAAAAAGGAAATGATTCAGAAAACGAAAAAGAAAATCAAAAAAGGAGTCCAAATCAAAAAGATAAAGAAGATTCAGATACAGGCATTCATTTGCATGCAATGGGTAATTTATTTATTAAATTAATTTAATTAAATTAGTTAAAGTAATTCAATTTAATTTAATTAATTTAATCAAATTAATTAAGTTAATTTAATTTAATTAATTTAATTAAATTAATAAAAATAAATTAATCTATTTAAATTATTTACCTATTTAATTTGTTTAAGTAATAGGATCCATTTAGTTTATTTAATTGTGATTCCTAATTAATTATATTGTTTTGATTAATTAACTAATTAGTTAATTATTTTAACCAATTAATTAATTAATTATTATGTTTCATTATTTCGTTTTATTTATTTTCTGTTTTCTTTGTTTTGCTCCACTGCAGACCAAGACCTGGACAGTAAGTCAAAAAATAATTAAATTTGAAATAAAAGAAATTGCAAAAATGAATTAAGAAAATAAATCAAAAAGAGAAATTAAAAAAAGAGAAATAAAGAAATAGAGAAAAATTAAATGAATATTCACCAGCAAGCTCTTCATTATTTATTTACTTATTTCTATTTATTTTTTCATTTACATTTATTTATTTGTCTATATATTTATATTTACTTACAGTTTTTATTTATATATATCTATTTATTTATTCACATTTATCTATCCATTTGTTTATTTATTTGTTTGTTTATTTATTGATCTGTTCGTTTATTGATTTATTTATATTTATTTATATTTATTTATATTTACTTATATTTATTTATATTTATTTATATTTATTTATATTTATTTATATTTATTCATTTATTTATATTTATTTGTTTTATTTTTTTTATTTTTGCAGAAGATGATTCTGGAGGGAACATCGAGGGCACTGCCTTCATTTGTGAGGACAAATTAAAATTAAATTAGATTAAATTAAATTAAATTAAATTAAATTAAATTAAATTAAATTAAATTAAATTATTTTGAGTAATAATTAGTAAATTAATAATTATTTAATGAATTAAATTAAATTAAATTAAAGTAAATTAAGTTAGATTGAATTCAAATAAATTCAAAGGGAATCAACATCCGATTCAGATTTGCTGCAGTTTGTGAACTTTCTTTGTGCATTATCTTCATAAAAGCAAATCCAGTAAAATTCACTTTGATTCATTTTAATTTATTTTAATTCATTTTACTTCATTTTAATTTCTTTTAATTCATTTTAATTCGTTTTAATTAATACAATTCCATTTAAATTCACTTAAATTCACTTATATTCACTTAAATTTATTTAAATTCATTTAAATTCATTTAAATTCACTTAAATTTATTTAAATTCATTAGGTCATTTAAATTAATTTAAATTAAATGAATTTAAATTAATTAATTTAAGTTTCATTTAAATTAATTCATTTAAATTCATTTAAATTTATTATGACTCACAATATACAAAATAAATACATATATCTTTATATCCCCCTAAATACAAATATATTTGATTCAACATATATATATATGTATATATATATATATATGCATTTATGTATATGTATATTTAATAATATATATATATATATATAATGTATATACACATTGGATAAGTATGTAATTCATATATATAGGTATTTTGTATACAGTAGATATATAATACACGTATTATATATATACATATATATATATACGTATCTCTATATAATATATATATATATACATATATATATATGTTTATGTATATAAATATATAATGCAGTATATATACATATATATACCTCTAACTGAAGCAAATTACACCAATTTAAGTGCAAATTGATTTGTAGTAATTATTATCATTATTATTTGTTCAGGGTCCGACTCAGATCAATTTTTGCGATATATTTACCTACGAATAAGTTCATTTTCGTTATATATATATATACATATGTACATATACATATAAATATGTAATGCAATATATAGACTTATTGTGCCTCTAAATGGAGCGAATTGCACGAATTAAACCCCTAGTTGATTTGCAACAACTAGAATTCCTCCGTGTCCTCCCAGGGTCCGACTTGGACCAGTTTTTGCGGTACATTTACTTGAGAACAAGTTTGTCTTCTTTAGATACATGAATATATAAATATGTAATGCAATATATAGACTTATTGTGCCTCTAAATGGAGCGAATTGCACGAATTAAACCCCTAGTTGATTTGCAACAACTAGAATTCCTCCGTGTCCTCCCAGGGTCCGACTTGGACCAGTTTTTGCGGTACATTTACTTGAGAACAAGTTTGTCTTCTTTAGATACATGAATATATAAATATGTAATGCAATATATAGACTTATTGTGCCTCTAAATGGAGCGAATTGCACGAATTAAACCCCTAGTTGATTTGCAACAACTAGAATTCCTCCGTGTCCTCCCAGGGTCCGACTTGGACCAGTTTTTGCGGTACATTTACTTGAGAACAAGTTTGTCTTCTTTAGATACATGAATATATAAATATGTAATGCAATATATAGACTTATTGTGCCTCTAAATGGAGCGAATTGCACGAATTAAACCCCTAGTTGATTTGCAACAACTAGAATTCCTCCGTGTCCTCCCAGGGTCCGACTTGGACCAGTTTTTGCGGTACATTTACTTGAGAACAAGTTTGTCCGCCTTGTCTTTCGCGCTGACGCACCCCGCGCTGGAGGGCGCAGTGCCTTTCCACCTGCTCGCGCGAATTGCCTCCGACTGTTTCTTTTTGGGAAAACATCCCGACGTGCAAAAAAAGATAAATCGGCAAATTCGAAACAACTCCGAGGCCGAGAGGGTCCCGAGATTCGACAAGTACTTCGCGGGATTCATTGCAGGTGACCCTTTGCTTTTGTGTCTTCGTTTCTTTTTGCGGCTTTTTCGCTTCTTTTTTCGCTTTTTACTTCTTTTCCTTTGTTCAAATAAGTGCACAGCTCACGGAGATGTGCACTTATTTGCACAAATTAAATCCACTAAATTAAATCCATTCAATTAAATCAAATTAAATTAAATGGTTTGTTATTAGACCATTTGACTTGATTTGATTTGATTTGATTTGCTCTGATTTTTGTTCGCAGCAACTTGCAACTTGCTGACGATTGAAGTGTACAGACGGACGATGAAGGAGAAGTCTTTGGGGACTCCTTTGAAGTTGGAGAAGAACAAAAAAGAAAAAGAAAACGAAAACGAAGAAAAAGAAAACGAAAACGAAAATAAAAGTGAAAACGAAGGCGAAGCCGAAGACGCCGAGGTCGACCTCGACACTGCGCTCGGCTGTATGGACACCTGGCCAAACAAACTCGTCGCAAAAGAATTGAAAAAAAATAAAATGAAAAACTTAAAAGTTCCCGCAATGCAGATTCAAACTCACCAGCTCGCCATGAATGAGGCTTTAAAAAGTAAACTCAATCATCAACTAATTAATTAATTAATTAATTAATTAGTTAATTGATTTGTTTGTTTATTTGCTTTTTGTTTGTTCATTTATTTGTATATTTATTTGTTTATTTGCTTGTTTATTTGCTTGTTTATTTGATTGTTTAGTTATTTTAATTTTTATTTATTTATTTATTATTTATTTTATTTGTTTATTTGTTCATTTGTTCATTTATTTATTTATTTATTTGATTTCGTTGGTCCAATTCAAACAAATCAAATCCGAATTAAATGCACCCATCAAATTAAATCAAATTAAATCAAATTAAATCAATTAAATAAACTAAATTAAATAAAATAAATAAATAAATTAATTAAATTAATTAAATTAATTAATTAAATTAAATAAATGGAATGCGTGCAGGCGCTGACGAAATAGCCGCGTGGCTGGGCCCTCGGTGTTCAAATTCGAAAAAACTTTTGGAAATAAAAAAAAAAGAAATAAATCCAAAATTAATTCTTTTCAACTTTCCCGAAAATGCACTTTCCCCCATCGAAGCCCTCGCCAACAACTTGTGCTGTGAGCTCCTTTCCTTTTTCTTTTTTGTTTTCTTTTTTCTTTTTTGTTTTTTGTTTTTTTTTGATTTTTTGGTTTTTCGGCTTTTTGTTTTCGGTGTTTTCCTTTTTAAGGGCGGGTTGGGATTTGGTCGTTTTTGGTTTGGAGAAAAAGGGCTTGAAACGCTTTCTAAACCCTAAACCCTAAACCCTAAACCCTAAACCCTAGTTTGAGGAGTAGCTGAGGCCAGCAGATTGAAAACAAAAAGGGAAGAGAGCCAATTCATCGCATGCATTCTTTTCATTGTTTTATTTTGTTTTATTTATTCCATCTATTCTATTTAATTATTTTATTCTATTATTTCATTTTACTTATTTTTATTTTATTTTATTTCATTTTTGTTTTTATTTCAGATTCGTTTTATCTCCACGAGGGTGAGAGCTGTCGGGACACTTGAAAACTCGGAAAACGCCAAAATTAAACTTTTTATTTTTTAGATTTAAAATTTAAAATTAATTATTTTAATTTCTTTTTACTTTTATTTATTTCAATTTTCCAATTCATCCTTTTCTTCTTTTTATTAGTTTAGAACTGCCAATTAAGTCTTTCATTTTAATTCTTTTTAATTACTTTAAATCCTTTTTCTCTTTCCTTTTATTGATTTTGAATTGCCACTTAGTCCTTTTATCTTTTTATTTCCTTTAGTTGATTTAAAATGAATTTCTTTCCATTTTTATTTTTTATTTTTTTTGATTAATTAAAAACTTCCAATTAATTCTATTTGACGCTCTTTTAATAAATTTAAAACCTGCAATTAATTCCTTTTATTTATATTTCATTATATTCAATTAAATTCAGTTGAATTAAATATGGTTTATTTTAATTTTATTTTAATTTTATTTTAGTTTTATTTTAATTTCATTTTTATTTTATTTTATTTTATTTTATGTTCGAAGCTTCAATTCGACACCTCTCTGGCGCTGCAGAAGACACCACCCCTTACGCAATTGAACATGGTAAATTAAATTGTTTTTACTTATTTATTATTTATTTATTTATTTATTTATTATTTATTTAATTTACTATTACAATTAATTAATTAACTAATTAGTTTATTTATTTACTTATTTATTTATCTGTTATTTTGTTTATTTCTTTGTTTGATCTTTTGCTAAGACATTTGTCGCTTGTTTATTTATTTATTATTTACTTACTTATTCATTTATTATTTTATTTATTTATTTATTTATTATTTATTTATTTGTTTATTGGATATTTACTTATTTATTTTAAAATTTGAAAGTTTTGTTTTTTTCGTTTTTGTTTTCAGATGTCAACAGTTTGCCGCGTAAGGCCTTTTCCAAAAAGGGAAATTCAAAATAAATGAAATTGAAAATAAATGAAGAAATAAATAAATATATTTATATAAATATATAAAAGTATAAATACATCAATATATCAATATGATGATTTGATAAAAGGAATTGATTAATTCAATTAATTCAATTAATTCAATTAACTGAAATAATTAAACAAATCAAATGAACAAAATAAGTAAATAAGTTAAATGCTTTATTCTTGATTTGGAGAAACTTGCATTTATTTGCTTCCCGCTTTTTATTTATCTCCATATTTGCTTTTATTCTTTTTTCATTTTTTGTTTATTCTATTTATGTATTTGTTATATTTAATTATTTATTTGCTTTATTATTAATAATTTGTTTCTACTTATTTATTTGTTACTTGTTTTATTTATTTATTTATTTATATCTTTAATTAATTAATTAATTGATTAATTTATTTATTTATCTATTTATTTTTTATTTATTTAATTTATTTTTGTCATTTGGTTTTCTCCTTCTTCTTTGCAGAAAACTCTGTCATCGAGCAGAGCCGTGAGTACAGAAAGATATAAAATAAATAAAATGAAATCAAAAGATAAAATAAGATTAATAAAATAAAATAAAATAAAATAAATCAAAGAGCATTAATAATTAGACTCAAATGGAAAGAGAAGACAATAGAAAACAATCCAAACAAAAGAAAGAACAGAAAAAGAAATAAATTAAAATTGAATTTAAAATAAAATAAAACAAATTTGAGGGCCTTTTATTTATTCGAACTTTAAAAAACCTCAAAATTTTATTTAATTGAAAAGAAAATAAATTTTAATTCATAAGGCCTTTATTTAATTTCATTATTTTGTATTTACTTTTTTTCATCTTTTATGTTTTATTTTTCATTTGTTTGTGTGTTTTGATCACAACTTACTCGTTATGGATTTATTTATTTACTTATTATTTATTTACTTATCTGTTTATTTATTTATTTATCTGTTTGTTTATTTATTGTTTTATTTTATCATTTATTATTTATTTTTATATCTGTTTGCTTATTTATTTATTTATTTATTTATTTACTTATTTTGCTTTTTTTCAGCTGCAACTTACTACCCCGTGTGTCTACGGCTGATGAAAAGTGAGAACATGAAATTTAAATAAATTTAAAAATAAATTTAAAAAAAAAATTTGAAAAAAAATTTAAAAATAAATTTAAAAATAAATTTGAAATTAATTTACAACTGAAAAACAATTAAATAAATGTAAAATGGATTAAAAATATATTTGGGAAGAATTTAAAATGACTCTTGTTCATTTATTCATTTCTCAACAAATAATTATTTTTATTCATTTAATTCAACTAAAATAAATTTAATTTAATTCCAATCAGTTAAATTTATTTTAATTGAAATTAAATTGAATCGGATAAATTAATTTAATTAGATTTAGTTTAATTTAATTAAATTAAATTTCAATTAATTATATTAAATTAAATTAAATTAAATCAAATTAAACTCTTTTTTTTGCCTCAGCGCTGACGTCCAACGACTACGGCACTTGGCTGGAGCCTCGTGAGCAATAAGAATTAAATTAAATTAAATTAAATTAAATTATTTAAATTAAATTAATTCAATTAATTCAATTTAATTAAATTGATTTAGTTAAATCAAATTAAATTAGTGGAAAGGAATTAATTAAACATTAAATAATTAAATAATTCATCAAATTAAATTGATTTATATTTGGTTAAATTAAATTAAAAAGATTGACCAAAGATATTATTCTTTTGCATCTTTGGTCATCTTAAAGAAGTTACAATATGAAATAAAATGAACTAAAACGAAATAAAGGAAAACGAAATAAAACAAAGTTGAAAAATTTTAAATCAAATGAAAATAAATTAAATAAATTAAAATAAATTAAGTTTGCTTTTTATTTGCAGCTTTTGCCAAAGTCCTTTCCGCCGCGCAAATCGTCGTCACCAGTAAGCAGCAGCTGCAGCCGCAGCAGCAGCAGCAGCAGCAGCAGCACAAGCAGCAGCAGCAGCAGCCCAAGCAGCAGCAGCTGCAGAAGCACCAGCAACACAAGCAGCAGAACCAGCAGCACATCGGGAGCAGCAGCAGCAAAAGCAGCACAAGCAGCAGGGGCACAAGCCTCAAGCAGCAGCAGCAAAAGCAGCAGAAACAGCAACACAAGCAGCAGCAGCAGAAGCAGCAGCAGCAGCAGCAGCTAGCGGGAGAACTAAAATTTGAATATGCTGCGTTATTTTAATAGTTAACTAACAAATTAGCATTTCATTAGTATTAATCTTCAATTAATTTAATTTAATTTAAAATTAATTTAATTTAATTAATTTAATTTGATTAATTTATTTTAATTCAATTTATTTTTGGAATTTGTTTTTTTCAGAAGCGCCAGAACTCGAGAAGACCCAAAAGGAATTTTCGAAGTTAAAACAATGCGTGGAAAAAGGCAAATTAAATAAATGAAAATAAATAAATAAAATAAATAAATAAAACAAATAGATAAATAAGCATTTAAATAGATAAATAAATAGATAGATAAATAAGTAAATGAATAAATAAGTAAATAAGTCATTTGTTTTATTTATTTTTATTTTCTTTTTTTGTTTTCAGCGCAAGCCGATACCATCGAGCAGTTCGCGTTAATTCCAGAAAGTCCGAAAATAAAAAAAAGAATTTAAATTAAATTAAATTAAACTAAACTAAATTAAATTAAATTAATTCAATTGAATTAAATTAAATTAAGTTAAATTAAATTAATTGAATTGAATTAAATTAAGTTAAATTAAATTGAATTAAATTAAGTTAAATTGAATTAATTGAATTACATTGGAGTTAATTGATCGATATTGATTTAATTGAATGAATTTAAACTAATTTAAATGATTTCAATTAAATCCGACAAATTTAATTCGATCTAGATGAACTTAATTACATTTATTCAACATTTAATCTATCTAATTATTTTATTTAATCATTTAATTATATTTACTTTTATTTATTTATTTTTAATTAAAATGATTTTTTGTTTTTGTCTTTCGCAGTGCTGCACTTCGACATGCAAGCCGGTGTCTGCGGTGAGAAAAATGAAATTAATTTAATTTTAATTTAATTTATATAAATAAATAAATTTAATTTAATAAGTTTAATTTAATCAATTAAATTTAATTAGTTGAATTGGATTGAATTAAAGCTGAATAAATTAGAGTGTTTGAAACATAACAAATATCTTTATGACTCACTTTTCACGGCTTAGGGTTTAGGGCTTAGGGTTTAGGGTTTAGGGTTTAGGGTTTAGATGTAATCTGCAAACTTCTCGAGTTTGAAGATTTAGGGTTTAGGTTTAAAAGTTAAGGGCTTTATGCCTTACTATTTACGGCTTAGGGTTTAGGGCTCACTGTTCAGGGTTTAGGGTTTAGGGTTTAGGGTTTAGGGTTTATTTTGCAGACTTTTTGGGTTTGAAGAAACTGAAGAACAAATATGACTTGGTGAAACGCGGTGAGTTTATAAAACTCTTTTTAAATTTAAAAATAAAAACAAAATAAATAAATAATTGGTTTAATTAAATGAATTAATTTTAAGTAATTAAAATTTGTTCTTGTATTTAATTCACTTGTTTAGTTAAAATATAAATTCAACGAATTAAACATTACACCAATTCACTTTGAATAAATCAAATAAATTACTTTTAAATTAATTATCTTTCAATCAAATTAAATTATATATTTAATTTAATTGTCTTTTGAATTTGATTGAATTATTTATTGAATAAAAGTGCCAATTTAACTGAACTAATTTCATCTAATTAAGTTACTTTATTTAATTAAAATATTTAATTAATTCAACAAAATGATTTTAAATAATTTATTTAATCAAACAAAATTTAATGAAATAAATGGCTTTTATATTTATTTGAATAAAACTATTTTCAAATTAAATAAATTAATCTATTTAATTGAATAAAATTACCTCTAATTAATAAAACACCTTATTTAATTAAACAAAATCACCTTTATATTGAATTAAATAAATTTCTTTCAATTAAATAAAATAATTTCTTTAAATAAATGAAATAAAATAAAGTAATTTATTTAATTAAATAAATTATTTTTATTTTCAGCTCTGAAAGAAACTGGAAAAGACGAGGAGTTGCTTTCCAAAGTTGAAGAAAAAGAAAAGATCGGTATTCATTTATTTTATTTTATTTTGTTTTATTTTATTTTAATAAATGAATAAGTAAATAATTAATTTAATTAAATTACACTGTATAAATAAATAAATAAATAGTTTAATAAATAAATAGAATAAATCAATAAATAAATCAATAAATATACAAATAAATAAATAATTATTTAATTAAAGTAATTAATTTAATTAAGTTGCTCTAACTAATTGATTTGATACGGCAGATAAAAAAAGGGAAAATCAGAAATGAATAAAATTGAAATTATTTATTTACCAATTAATTATGTAGTTGACTATCTACTTATTTGTTTAGTTAACATATTTTTTATTTATTTATTATTTATTATCTATTTATTCTAATTTATTTATTTTATTTTATTTTATTTTATTTGTTTTTAGTTTCTACTCGTCTTTTGGCGGTCTCGTGTTTGGTGGAAAAGAAAGCTTTGAAAAGTAAGAATTCAAATTGAATTCAAATTTAATTTTATTAACTTAATTGCAATTATAATTTGAATTTCATCTAATTAATTTTAATTTAATTTAATTTTATTTAAATTTAAATTCATCCTAGCTTTGATTTGTTTTATGTTGTTTTCATTTTTATTTATTTCAGTTCAGCTTTATGATTAAATTTTAGTTTCATTTTAATTTCACCCCAAACTAATTTTAATTTTATTTTTATTCTTAATTTCATTTTAACTTCAAAACGTCCGCTTTTATTTTATCTTTATTTTTATTTTTATCTTTAATTTCTATTCATTTACTTTTTCTATTTTCAATTTCTTTTATTTACACTTTTTTTTTTCGTTTTTAATTTTTAGCCTCTTTAATTTTATTTACTTAATCTTTTCTTTTCCTAACAATGAATTAATTAGCTGCCTAATTAAACATCAAATGATTAAACATTTATTTCTTTTATTTATTGTTTTTATTGGTTTTTATTTTATTTCTATTTTATTTTAATTTCATTTTATTTTTTATTTTTCAGTTATTACGAAGTACATGCGCCTCGCCCTTGAGCGTAAGAAGAAAAGAAATTTTAGTTTAAATTTTGTTTTAAATTCATTTCTTAATTTCAATTTTATTTTGAATTTTAATTTTAAATTTTAATTTAAAATTTTAATTTTACAATTTAAATTCATAACTTGAACTGTTATTAAACTTGGCAACTTATAAAAGCAGTCTGAAGAGATTTGAATGAAAAATAAATGCAATGTTTAAAGTCAAAAGTGCAGTTTATTTACTTATTTATTTATTTTTTACTTTTTCTTTTTCATTTATATGCTTTATATATTTATCTATTTGTTCACGTGTCCTATTTATCTACTTATTTGTTTATGCATTATTTATTTATTTTATATTATTTATTTATTTATTTATTTATTTATTATTTATTTATTGATTATTTATTGATTTATTATTTATTATTTTGTTAATTTCATTTTTCAGAAATGCCAAAGCCGGATACGGACAAAGTGGAACTTGAAAAGAATATAAAAAGAGCCCTCGCCTTCGAAGCTGGCAAGAGAATTAATTCAATTAATTATTTTAATTAATTAATTATTTATTTATTTATTTATTTTATTTATTTATGTTTTAATCAACTAATTAATTAATTAATTATTTATTTATTTATTTATTTATGTTTATTCATTTATTCATATTTATTATGTATTATCGCCATTTACCTGCTTTTATCTGTTTACTTTCGTTTATTTTTATTTTTATCTATTTGTATTTGTTTTTATTTATTTATATTTGTTTTATTTATTTATATTTGTTTTATTTATTTTTATTTATTTTTGTTTTTTGTTTTTTTGAAGCGGCGAAAGAATGCAATGCGACAGACGAGTTGGAGATGATGCAAAGACTTAAAGGTAATTAAATTAAATTAATTTAAATAAGTAAATAAATAAATACATAATAAATAAATAATGAATATTGAATAAATAAATAATAAATATATTAATTAATTAATTAATTAATTAAAGTTAATGATTGAAACAAGGAAGTAAATAAAGAATTGAATTGAAACGAATACTTGAATTTAATAAGTGAAATAATTAATTTTCCTCCATTATGTAATGTGGCTCTAAGCGGTAGCAAATAAATAATAAACGCAGATAAATAAATGAATGAATAAGCGAATAAATAAATAAATAAATAACAAATAAATAATAAATAAATAATAAATGAATAAATAAATAAATAAATGACAAGTCAGGTGTTTCTCGGAGAAGATTTCCTTTTACTTTTTGTCAATTTCCAAAATAGATTTCCAAATCTCATTTTTCGGGAATTCATTTATTTATTTGTTCTTAATTTATTTGCTGCTTCACCACTATTTATTATTACTAATTATCATTATTATTATTACTATTATTATCCTTATTTATTGTTTATTATTATTTATTATTAATTAATTTATTTATTTATTTATTTTATTTATTTTATTTATTTTATTTATTTATTTTGTGTTTAAGAAATGGAAAATGCGGCGAAGGAAACTTCCGAAGCTTCTGAGAGCGACAACGAGGATGAAGACATTTAAAATAAAAGTAATTTTATTTTAATTCATTTTAATTTAATTAATTTGATTGATTAAATTAATTAATTAATTAATTATCTATTATCTTATTATTCCTTTATTCATTTATTTATTTATTTGCTCATTTATTTAGGTGTCTAACTAAATAAACAAGTGATTAGTTAATGAATTAATAAACTAGTTTGCCAATTGATTTGGTGAATAATCAATTAATTGCCAGTTTAATAATTAAACAGTTGGCAAATTAAATAATCGATATTATAAAATGACAATTCTTTAATTCCAATTCATTTGAAATGAAAACATGAAGTTTCCATTTATTCATTACACGATTATTTTAATTTTAATTGATTTATAATAAATGAAAATTGAATGAAAGCTTTGCTGCTACTGATGCGACACCACTTTTCTCTTTTATCTTTGTAAATTCATTTCTTCTTGTTTTAAATTATTCCTCCCATTTAACATGCATCTAAATAAATAGAATATATCAAATATATCTAATTTGTCCAGTAAAAATAGGTAAATAAATAAAATAAATAGATAAATAAAATCCTAAAAGTTCTAAATTGCTGCTGCAGCTTTGGGCGAAAATGTGGAAACGAAGAATTGGGGAAGTGAAAAATCGAGAAAAGAAAAAGAGGACAAAAAAGAAAACTCGAAAAGAAAGAAAAGTCAAAAAAGAAAAGTTAAAAAAGAAAAGTAAAAAAGAAAACTCGGAAGATAAAAGAAAGGACAAACTAGAAAAGGACAAAAGGAGAAAATGAAAAGATAAAGAAAGAACAAATGACAAAACGAGAAAAGAGAAAATCCGAAAAGAGGAAAAAAGAAACAAATCATAAAACGCCTCGGCATCAGTTTCGTTCTTGCCGCCGCAGCAGAAAAGAAACAAATATCATTCATTAAATAAATAAATTAAATAATTGATAAATAAACAATAAATATATATAAATGAATAAACGAATTGTAGATTGAGGAATCCATTAGGCGGAAAGAATTCATAAATCCGGCAACGGCAAATTCGAAGCCAAGGCGACAAGAACTATTCAGTAGCAGCAGCAGCTATTCTTCTGCCGCGCCATCATAAATAAATAAATAAATGAACAAATAAATGAATGAATAAATGTGAATAAATAAACAAGTGGATAAATGGCAAGTGAATGGATGCAGCCAATGAGCACACTGTGTACGTACACCCGGCCGAAGAGCGGCGGAGGCCTCGGGGACGCGACTGCGGGGAAAGTGCTGGATGAATTGGGAAAGCTAGAAGAAATAAAGAAGTAAATGAAAAAAAGAACAATAATGATTTGTGATATGATATTTGTGTTCCAGAAGTCCTTTGGCGGTCTTCGGGGGCGCGGGCGGGGCTGCTGAGGTGTCTGTACACCGCGAGCGGCGCGCGGAGCGGCGGCGAACTGGGAGCGAAAACTGGTCGAAAAGAAGCATTTTTTGGAGTTTCGAAGAGGAAAAGAGTTGGAAATGAAATACTTTTGATTTTCGGGAGGGTCTGGAGAGAAGTTGGCGGAAATGCGTCAGTTTTTGAGGGCCTTGATCGCGTCGACCTGGTCGGTCCTCAGCTGTATGTGCAGCTTCAGGTCCAGCAGCTTGCTGTTGCGCTCGGCGGCGAGCTGTAGATACACCCGAGCGTGCGTGCGGAACTTCACCCAGGCCGCCAAAAGCCTTTCCACTTTATTTGAAATTACTTTTTTCAGAGTTGCGTTCTTCTCGCGCGGCCGCACCAGCGCCTCCGTGGTCTGCTGCAGCTGCAGCAGCCGCGACAGAATTAAGTCGAAGTTTCCGAAAAAACTTCCGACAAAAACTAAAATGCAATCTGCTTCTCGCAGCTTCTCCAGAGTCCGCAGCCGCAGTCGCGACACCGCAATTTCCGCAGCCATGTCCCGTCCCTTTGCTGCTGCTGCTGCTGCTTCCTTCCGCTTCTTGCTGCTCCCGCACCCGCGGCCCTCGCCTCCTGCTGCTGCTGCTGCTCCCGCTGCTGCTGCTGCGGGGGGGGCAGACGGGCTGCACAGCAGCAGCTCCGTGCACGCCGTCTCGCCAGACCCGCTGCTGCTGCTGCTGCTGCTTTCTCCTGCTCCTGCTGCTGCAGCGGGAGCACCAGCAGCAGCAGCAGCAGCAGCAGGTTCGTTGTCTGCTGCTATGCTTTCGAAGCTGAGTGCCGCCTGGACGTCTCTGGGCGCGTTGTTTTGGCTGTCCTTGTTGTAGCTCGCATAACTGCTGCTGCTGCTGCTGCTGCAGCCGCTTTGCCGCATTTGCTGCTCCCGCGCTGCTGCTGCTTCCGTCGAAAGAAATAAAAAATCCAAAATTTCTTCTGTCACGACAGAAGGGTCTGGAAGGGCCACTTGGCTCCAGGCTTCCACTCCCGCTGCCACTTCTTGCTGCTCTGCTGCTGCTGCTCCTCCTGCTGCTGCAGCTGCTGCTGCTGCTGCTGCCGCCGCTGCTGGCTTCCGGTCCAGCTCCGCGCAGCTGTACAGCATGCGCCGCAAACTCGCCCCCAAGAACTCCCGCAGCATGTCCATCCGCCCCTTGCTGCTGCTGCTGCTGCTGCTGCTGCTGCCGCCCCACACGTCAATTCCCTCTTCCAGCAAATTAGCTTCTCGAGTTTGCTGCTCAGCTGCCGCCGGATGAGCAGCAAAAACAGGAGATATCAACGCCTGCTGAAGAACTGCTGCTGACTCCTCCTTCCGCTGCTGCTGCTGCACTTGCTGCTGCTGCTGCTGTGTCTGCTGCTTCGGCTGCACTTGCTGCGCTTGTTGCACTTGCTGCACTTGCTGCCGCTGGTGTTGCTGCACTTGCTGTTGCTGCAGCTGCTGCTGCACTTGGTGTAGCTGCTGCTGCACCTGGTGCTGCTGCTGCTGCATTTGCTGCTGCTGCTGCTGCATTTGCTGCTGCTGCTGCTGCATTTGCTGCAGCTGCTGCTGCTGCTCCTGCTCGGGAACCGAACTAATGGAGCCTCTCAAAGAGTTAATTGAATTAAGAGCTTCTGCTTCCCCCAGCTCCATAGAAAGCGGCGTCTCTGCCCCTGAGGGCGCGTCGCTGGCTTCTGCTGCTGCTGCTCGCTGCTGCTGCTGCTGCTGCTGCTGCGAGGTCCCCGCAGAAAGAGCAGCAACGACGCAGCAAATAAGGTCTGAAACTGAAGACTCCGCCAGTTCATATCTGTGGCCCAGTCTTTCTCCTTCTCTTTGCATTTCGCAAATCCATTTTCTTATTTCTCCAAACAACTCCAAAACGGCTTCTTCAGTACCCTCGGGGGGCCCCGGGGCCCCTCCCCCGTAGGGGCCCCCCCCATAGGGGCCCCCCGGGGGGCCCCCCTGGGGGTCTGAGCAAAGGGCGCGAATGTCATTAATGGTTTCAATTGCAGAAGTGGCGGTGAGTTCGAAGAAAGCGACAGCTGTCTGTACACTCCGCTGGAGACCCCACAAGTCCTTCTGGATCTTCTCCGCGAGGAGAAACATGGGGGACAAAGAGCCCCCCTGGGGCCCCCAGGCGGGGCCCCTGAGGGAGAGCAGCAGCAAGTGCGTGGACAGCAGCAGATGCAGCTGCAGCGGCAGCAGCAGCGGCAGGTGGAAGGGCGGAATGGGCCGGCTCGTCTTCAGGAATCCCGGCAGCATCGGCCCCACAGACACTTCGTAGGGGTCGCTGCCCGGGCGCGCCTCCACTGCTGCGTCTGCTGCTGCTGCTGCTGCTGCTGCTGCTGGCGAGGCGGGCGAAGCAGCGGCCGCGCGCCACGCAGCAAGCGGGTAGGGAAGAGCCGCGGAGGCCAGCGGAGGCAGAGGAGGCATGAAGCCGAAGGAAACGCTTCTGCTGCTGCTGCTGCTGCTGCTGCTGCTGCTGTCCAGCGCAAAGCGGATTCGGTCGCTTTCGCACAGCCACCGCATCATCCACGGGTGGTAGAATATCTGAAAACAAAACGAAAAGGCCCTTTTGGACCCCAAAATGGAAAATAAACCCAAAAAAACAAAAAAATGAATTTAAATGGCCCAAAGATGCGGGAAAACGGACAAATCCGGAGAATCGCGAAAAGTTGAATTGCAAAAGAGCCCGGCGAGCCGCCGTTCAAGTTGCTGCTGCTGCTCCTGCGTTTCCTCTTTTGCATTTAATTGCATTTTGGCATTTTTAAATTGCAAAAATACGTTTAATTGAAGTCAACTCCTAATCACCTCTCTTTCTGTTATTCTTCTGCTCTGATCCACCACCAGTGCTCGCCGGATCAGATCCTTCGCCTCCTCAGACACCCGGGAAAAACGCGCATGGCGAAAGTGGAAACGGCCTGAAATAACAAATCACAAATGTAAATGTAATTACAAAAATATAGATAATATAATAATTACTATTTATCATTATTATTATTGAAGCAATTCTTTGCTGCCAGCAGAAGAACGCAGTCGAGAGCGTTCGCGCACTGGAACTCCCGCAGCAAACGGCAATGACGCGCACAGAACCGCCAGCAGCAGCAGCTGCTACTGCAGTAGCAGCAGCAGCAGCTGCTGCTGCTGTTGCTGCTGCTGCTGCTGGGATAAACAGACGAGGATTCGCAAGGACAAGCAAAGACGGTATAAACCCCAAAACCTCAAGAGCATCGAGAAGATGAAAGAAGTTCGGAGACATAAAAGAGTTTTTAAAATCTCAAAAAGAAAAACAAAAAGTGCAAATAAAAGCAAAACCAAAAAGGACAAAAAGCTGCTTCTAGCTTTCCCGAAGAGTGCTGAAAGGGACCTCAAAAGAGAGCTCGTTAATTAAATTAAACAACTAATGTGTTGATTTGTTTTGCGTTTTTATTTTATTCTTTAGTGTCCTTCTTTGTGCACTGCACTTCGCTTCCTCCACTCGCTTTCAAATCATTCATGAAATCCTTTCAAGTTCCTCTTCTAAAAAAGTGGAAACTGAATTTAATTGAATTAATTTGAATTTAATTGAGTTTAAACAACTCACCATTTAACACCATTTGCCGCAGCGAACTCGCAGAGCCTTCGAAGGGATAAGTGCCCCCCAAAAAGACGTACAAACAAACCCCGAAGCTCCAAATGTCCGCCTCGAAGCTGTAGCTGCTGCTGCTGCTGCTGCTGCTGCTGCTGTGGCGGTTCGCGCCGCAGCTGAGCACTGAAAGAAGAAGCAGCAGCAACTTTAAAGCCTGTTTGAAATGCCAAAAAGAGTTTTAGTTCTTTTTAACATTTAATTTGATTCATTTTGACTTTAATTCGGCTGTATAAGGGCTTCTTCGAGCCCTCAGCGTCTGAAGGAGACTTTGATTTCGACTTCGAAGAAATATTCATTTATTGATATTTCCGGCAATTAATGGGAGCTTTTTGGAAATAAGAAACAAATAAAAAGCCGAAATGGAAAAAGTAAAAAACTGAAATGGACAAAAGACGAAAAAGGTGAACAGGTTCAGAGCGAGCGGGAGAGAGGGAAAGCTGGGCTGAAAAACGAGAAAACGGAGAAACTTGAGTGAACTCGAATGGAAAACTTGAAATTAAATTCAAATAATAATTAAATTAATTCAATATTCAATTCAATTCACACGCACCTTCGGGAGCCCAGTACTGCGGAGTTCCCACCATGGAAGTCGCCAGGACTTTGTTGGTGAGCAAAGTCTTGGCCAGCCCGAAGTCTGCAATTTTGACTTTGTAGAATCCGTCTTCGACTTCTTCGGAAATCAAAATGTTTTCGGGTTTTATGTCTCTGAAAAGCGAAAAAAAACGAAAACTTGCACAAGACAGAAGCGCTGCTGCAGCAGCCGTTGACTTCCCCGCAAACTGCAGTCCTTTCGGGCTTTATATTTCCGAAAAACAAAAATGAAAAGCTGCACGAGACACAAGTGCTGCTGCTGCTCTCCCAGCTGCAGAGACACTCCGTTCAAGTCCTTTCTGCTTTTATTTCCGATTTATTTCCACTTTTTTGAGGTCAAAAGGCCCTTTAATTTTTAAGTGTCTTTTGATTTGGAAATGAACTTTCAATTAATGCAAAAACACAAAATGTAAATGAAAAATTTGCAAAGAATTGGCAAACTGGCAAACCAGCAATTTTATCTCTGAATAAAAGATAAAATTGAAACAAAAGAAAGCAATTTGAAATAAAAGAGAAATAAGGGGAGAATAAACATATATGGGCTTTACATGCAGACAGCAGAAGAACGAGCCAAAAGAGCATCTAAAAGAACAGACAAAAGATACAGCAATGGGGCAAACGAGCAAACAAATAAAAGCCAAAAGGTTCACTTAAATGAAAAATAAAATAAAAAGAAAATGAAAAGAAAAAGAAAAGAAAAAGAAAAGAAAAAGAAAAAGAAAAGCCCTTGAAGAAGACCACTGGTGCAACTTCGCAAAACAGGAAACGCGAAGGAAACCAGCTCTTCCGCGAGTCCAAAGACACGACTTTAAAGGATTTGAAGCAATTAAAAACAATTAAAAACAATTAAAAACAATTAAAATCAATTAACATGTTTCAAAACGAATTAAAACGATGAAAACGACAGCGAAACGGGAAGCCGAAGTTGCAAACCTGTGGATGACGCTGGACTGGTGCATGAAGACCACGGCGGCCAAGACTTGGTGGGCCACGAAGCAAGCCTGGGGCTCCGAAAAAGATCCTTTTTCGACAATTTTGTAAAACAATTCTCCTTCTTTCATGAACTCCTGCACTATGAACAAAGAGTCCTGCGTCTCCACGAAGTCTATGAACCCCACGATGCACGGGTGACGCAGGCGCTTCAGGTGCTGCGCCTGCAGCAGCAGCAGCAGCAGCAGCAGCGGAGGCGGCAGCAAGGAGCAGCAGAAGCAGCAGCAAGAAGCAGCGGCAGCAAGCAGCAGCAGCAGCAGCAGCAGCAGCAAGAAGCAGCAGCAGCAGCAGCAGCAGCAGACACAGCAGTCGAGTACTCATTTTCTTCTTCTTTGTTTTTTATGTTTTAAAAGACTTTCAAAATAATTTGATTATTATCAGTGCCTAAATGCAAATATAAATTTGACAAAAAATATTTATCTTAACAACAACTCGGAAGTTTATATATTTTATGAAAGAAATAAAATTAATTTATTCAAAAGTTTGGAGAAAGAAGATGATCAATTGATCTATAAGTTCAAATGGAATCTAAAAAAAGATAATTAATTCACTTAATAGTTTAAATGCATTTAAAAGAAAAGTAAAAATTAATTTAATTAATTTATTTCAAAGTCTAGAATTTGAATTACTTCTGCACTCTTCTGATTTCCACTTTTCAATTTTCCCATTTTCGCATTTTCCAAATTTTTGAACTTTCGCACTTTTGAACTTTTCAATTTATAATTCTTTTTTAATCCAAAACTTTCGCAGTTTTGAATTTAATACAAATTAGATTTTATTAAATTATTTTTTTCCAAAACAAGTGCATTTTTAACTGCAGACTTGTGAACACAATCTATGC